TGGCACGCTCATGGCCACCACAGCCTCGACCTGCTGGGCTCAGGTGATCCTTCCGCCTCAGCTTTCCAAGTAGCTGGAACTACAGAAGTGCACCAAGCCCAGCTAATTTTTTTATTTATTATAGAGACAAGGTCTCACCAAGTTGCCCAGGCTGGTCTCAAACCCCTGGACTCAGTCAATCCTCTCGCCTCAACCTCCCAAAGTGCTGGGATTACAGTCTTGAGCCACCACTCCCGGCCTTATTATTATTTTTTGAGTAGGAGGTCACTCTCTCACCCAGGCGTAAGCTACCACGCCCGGCTCAAAATTATGTTTTGTAGAGATGGAGTCTTGTTGTAGAGATGAAGGCTGGAGCTTACTTGCTTTCACGGCACACACACGCCAGGGTCTTGTGGTGGTTATTCAGATACTGAATTTGGGGTACAAATTTGCAAGACCTCTGCTTTCTTTTTTTTTTTTTTAGTTGGAGTCTCACTCTGTCACCCAGACTGGAGTGCAGTGGCTGCTCCCAGCCACCGGCAGCCTCAACCTGCTGGGCTCCAGCGATCCTTCCGCCTCAGCCTTCCAAGTAGCTGGAACTACAAGCACGCACTACCACGCCCGGCTAATAATTTTTTTATTTATTGTAGAGATGAAGTCTTGCCAAGTTGCCCAGACGGGTCTCAAACCCGCGGGCTCAGGCAATCCACTCACCTCAGCGTCCCAAGGTGCAGGATTTCAGGCTGATCCACTGAGCCTGGCTGACCTCTGCTTTCTAAGCCCATCCTCTCCTCTGGTCCCTTCCTTTACTCAGTCAACAAACCCCATTGACTGTCCTGAGTCCCAGGAACCACTGCAGGTTCACTGGATTCCACAACGAAGGGGCCTGAGAGGCCTCTGCCTGGGGGAACAGCGTGTGCCCTGCTCTGACAGTCCTGCATGCATCCCCAGAGGCAGGCTGCAGCTGACCTGGTCTATGGTGGAACCCGGATGACGACAGCCTCGCCAGGGGCCGCCACAGGGGGCATTCTCCACCTCTCTACCTCTGGGCAGCCTCCCAGCTCCGAGGGGGCCCTGGAGCTCAGCACAGGTGAGTTCCTCACCTGCCAGGTGCCTGCCACTTTGGTGTCACGTGTGGCCCAGGGCATGGGGGCATGAAGGCCAGAGACAGCTGCTTCTTGCCGGCTCTGCCTGTGTGACCTGCCCTCATGGGCTTTGCTCAGGAGGAGGAAGGCGGTCATTTCAAGTGAGATGGACACAGAGGCTTCCGTGGAGTGCTCAGGGCTATGAACAAGGTAAAGCAGCTGCAGAGACGGGTTTCAGGTTCCAGGTGTCTCTGGGGAAGTGACATAGAAGACTGATTAGGTGCCAGGGCAGGGCCCATGAGGCTTGGTGGGTTGGGCCCCAGCCCCTTGCCTGGAGACCCCCCTTTTGGGTCCCTGAAAGACATGACCTCCAGGGAGCTGGGAGAGGCCAAGGGAGGGCCCTCAGGACACCTCCTCCTTGGGGGGCTGAGGGGTCCGTGCTGCCCCTAGTGGACAGTCATAGGTTGCTGGAGGGGACTGGCTGCAGGAGCCCCCACTAGCATCAGTCAGCAAGGCCCTGCCCCGTCTCCTGTCTAGGCTCTGGTTAAGTGGCCTGACCCCAGATACTGGGGGGGTAGGCAGATGCCCTCAGGGCCAGCCTCCCCCAGGGGCCCACCCCAAGGCCTTGCTCCTGCAGGCTCCTTCTCCACATTCCAGATGGAAGGTGCTGGGGCAGCCCCGTTCCTCAGACCCCAGCCCCATCCCTGGCCTCCTGCCAGGAGTCTGCCCCTTCCTCAGCCTCCACCGCCTCAGCCTGTTCCCAAGGAATTTTGAGCCCCACAACCCTACCGCCATCGCAGTGGGTCACCTGCTGGCCTGGTGTCCGTGGTGCAGCTTCTGTCTTGGTGCTGCCCTCAGCCTGCCATCAGGAGGAAGGGCTCCCCAGGAGAGCTCAGCCAGCAGGATAGGAGGGGGGGCAGGGCCCGAGGTGAGATGCAAGGTGGGGTGGGGTTCCCAGGGGTGAACCCCGGGAAGGAAGGCTGCACCCCAGGAGGTGGGGTCTGGGAGCTGTCCCTGGGTGTGTTCCTACTTGTCCTCCCAACTGCGGGGCTTGTGGCCCAAGGGCAGGGCCTTCCTGAGTTGCTGGGTAAACAGTGTCAGGTGGCCTCAGCCTGGTGGGGGGTGCAGCTCTGCCTCCCAACACAACTGAAACTGCAGCCTTCCAGCCTTCCAGGAGCCGACACCTGCCTGCGACTGCAGAAAGTTGTCTTGTGGGAGACACGGGCTGAGGCTGGGCCCTAACAGCTCAGAGGACCCACCATCAGAGAATGGAGCCTGGGGCAGCTCTTTGGGGGTGACTGGGAGCCGAACCTCTCAAAAGGCTGGGTGCTGGCTCAGTGGGGCCTTGGGGTCAGGTTCACCTGGGGCACTCTGGCGGCACCCAGAGGCCTCTGGGAGGATGTGGGACCCTTGCCCTCCCCAGATGGCCTGGGGGGGGCCTAAACCTGGCAAGGAGGAGGAACAGGAGCTGCACTGGACAGAGCTGGGCTCAGAGGAGGGCCCAGAGGCCAGAACGGATGGGTCCAGCGCCCTTCAGGGCTGGGAGCACCCGCTGCAGGCTGTGTGGTGTGGCCTGGTGATGCAGCTGCTGCAGCAAGGGACCAGCCTGGAGGAGAGGTATGCCTGGGGCGTAGCTTCTTCACTGGTGGGTGGCAGGGTCACCTCTGGGCGGGACAGGAAAGGGGGGCTGTCACTGGGTGGGTGGCAGGACTCCTTTCTCTGAGTGGGCAGGAAGAGGTCCCTTTCTTTGGGTGGGGCAGGGCAGGGTCCCATCACTGGTGAGTGGCAGGGGTCACTTCTGGGTGGGGCAAGATGGGTCCCATCACTGGCAGGTGGCGGGGAGTCCTTCTCTGTGTGGGGCAGGACAGGGGGTCTGGTCCCTGTCTATTCGCCTGTCAGGCCTCCTCCCCGTCCTCCCTCCCCCGCAAGGACCATGCCAGCTGGATCCCGTTCCTCCTGGCCATGCTGCGTGGCCACGTGCCCCTGGTGTACCTCCTGCTACAGTGTGGCGCCTGGGTGGGCATGGAGGACTGGGTGGGGTGCACGCAGCTGCATGAGGCTGCCTGGCACGGGCACTTGCAGGTGGTGGAGCTGCTGCTGCGGCCCTGGGTGGCAGTGGGCACCATGGACCGGGTGGGCCTGGTGCCACTGCACTGGGCCACATGGTGCTGGTTGCGTGTTTACTGGAGGCTGTGGGCCTGGGCCCACTGGAGGACACGCGTGGCTGGACAGCAGTGCACTGGGCAGCCGTGGGGGGACGCCTGCCGACGCTGGAGCTGCTGACCGCAGGCCTGGATGGCAAGGGACTGGACAGCGCCCTGCAGGTGGTGGCTACGGCCAA